ACTAACAGGAAAGAAAAACATATCAATAAATAATTTTTAAAACAACTGTATATAAGGCCTGGCCTTCTGTTCCTTTGGGGACTGCAACTCCCTCTGCTGTGTGAGAGTCCTGGCTGCACACTGCTCCCATCCTGCTGCCTGACAAACTAAAATGGCCTTGAAGGCAGCATTTTTTGCAGCATTCCTCCCAGTCAATTGAGGAGATACTAATGAATTCCAGTGAGAAAATTCAAAGCTGAGAATGTCACATCTCCTTGAGCTCTGGTTTGCAAATGATTGGCAATGAGAGATTCTGGATATCCACGGTGGCAGCAGCTGGGCCATAAATCACAATAAATGTTAGAATATAAGTTGCTCTTCTGAAAACAAAATATATAAAGAGAAGAAAAAGAAGAGAATAAATAGAGACGAAAGAAAAGGAAAAGAGAAGAGAGGAAAAAAGGGAAAAAGAACTTCTAAAAGCTGAGGTAATCTTGGTTTTGGCTTAAGAGATGCAATTTAAGTTTCATCCTGACTGTAAAAACTTTTTGCTCCTGCTCTCTGCAGCTGATGAGAGCCCAGGACAACCAAGTGCAGGAATGAAAGACATGATGCTGCTTTTAGCTGTATGTCCCATATGGGACTGAGTTTGTATGGAATAGGAAAAGAGAAGATGTAGGGAGCATTTATTGGCTGTGGCACCTCTACTGCTGGAAAACTGTGTTTTGACAGATATTCTTCTCATGGCCTTTCTCTGCGCAGAGGTTCCTAGCACACGTTTGATACTGTCAGCTGGGTGGATTACTGAGTGTTGCTCTGCTTTCTACCTCTTTCTTAAAGTAGAGGCAACAGAATAATTTGGAGAATTCCTAATAATCCATCCCTTCTCTGCTCCTACTTCTTAACAATTTCATCTCTCTAAGAAAAATCTCTGCTCATACATGCTTACAAGGCACTGAATGCTTTTACTCTGGTCCAGCAAAGAACAGATAAACTTAATTCTCCTCCTAGATCAGGATCTAATTCCAGTCTGGGTTAAATCTCTCCAAGCCCAGGTGGTGATGACAGTAAATTTTGCTCCTGAAATCCAATTTTTCATAAAACCACTCTGGACAGATGTTCAAATGCAGCTTAAGACACTTAGGAACGAAGCTACAGTGAAAGTTTGGACAGCCAGTGCACATTTCATATTGGAGTAAATTCCTAAATCACTTAAAGCTCTCTGAAAATGAAACAGAATTTCTGGCTATGAGGGAAGTGATAGAAATCAGGAGTTAATGGCCCTTACTTGGGAAAAAGAATAAGTACATGCTTCCACCTATTCTTATTTAGAAAAACACAGGAATGCAAGACTTCACTGCAGGGATCCGAGTGTAGAAATACATATGTTTACTGTCACCAAGGCGATATCGCGAGAAAAATAAATGTTGAGATGATTCACTAATTCAAGGTGAGAACGGAGAAAGACAGGCGAGGTCCGGAGAAGCGCCGCTAAAAGAGGGCCCCAGGGTCCCGGACACCCCCAGAGCGCCAAGCGCTGCCCTTCACCTCCTCCCCGCCCCCTCCTCGGGC